AGTCCCAATAAACTTTCATTGGGAAAACAGGGCTCTAAATTTGGTCAGGTTTTCTCAGCCACCTCCACCGACAGGGAGGTGATGATACCTTAGACAGAGCTATTGAAACTGAGGCCTCTAAATTGCCAGAAACACACAGAACCTCATTTACATCATGAAAACTATGTACATTAAGCGGTTAGTGTCACTTGACCTAAATCCTTACCCACCCTCTGGTGGCAAATAAAAGGGTAGTTTGTCCCACTAACACCTCTCTGCCTGCACCTCACCATGATTGGGATACTCACTTCTGGCACTTATGGGGTGGAAAAGTACAAGCATATAACACAACAATTCCTGTGATATTTTCATATAGAAACAATAACAAGACATTGTATTCTTCAAAAGAGCCTCAATTAGCTCATCAAGTTAGCTTTCTTCTGATACTATGACAATGCAAAAAGGCTATTGGTTGTGTGGCTCAGTAACTATATGATCCTCATTGCCAAGACTGCCAAGAGATGGAAAGGGTATAAAACTTTACTCTGTTTTGAAACCAAAGAGTTAGCCTGCCAGTTTCAGGGATGCTGGCACAAGACATGAGACTCCTGGGACTGAGACAAAAGACACTGTCATACACGGCCCAGGAGGAAAAAGTGCTTCACGTTCTCATCTGTCACCACGGCTCTCACATGCCCCAAGGGGGCCATACAAAGACGTCCACTAGGATGCCACACACATAGTAGGTTTCTGTCACAGCTTAACACTAAGCTTAAGAAATACAAATCTTTTTTTTTTTTGTCTTTATTGTTCATGTTCCAAGATGTCCCGAGGGTGTGTTTGTAATTCATTCTTTTTCATTTTCTTTTTTTTTTTTTTGTGAGGAAGGTCAGCCCTGAGCTAACATCCATGCCAATCCTCCTCATTTTTGCTGAGGAAGACCGGCCCTGAGCTAACATCTATTGCCAATCCTCCTCCTTTTTCTCCCCAAAGCCCCAGTAGATAGTTGTTTGTCATAGTTGCACATCCTTCTAGTTGCTGTATGTGGGATGCCGCCACAGCATGGCTGGACAAGCAATGCATCGGTGGGACCCTGGGATCCGAACCCAGGCCGCCAGTATTGGAGTGTGCACACTTAACCATTAAGCCACGGGGCTGGCCCCAAGAAATACAAATCTTTTAATGTAGGTATAAGTACACATGCCCAAATTTGCCTCTGAGGAAGATATTATCTTTATTAATAACAAATTATTTATTTAATTTAATCAATCAAACTAAAAATTAGTTTAATATAATTATTGAATCAGGTAATTATTCAGCCCTTGCCCCCAAGACAAACACTGTTGCTGTCTTCCCAGTCTGTTATGCAAAAATCCTTGCAAGGTAGTCCAGAACAGAAGGTGATACAAGATGTGAAAAAGGTTGAGGTTTTCAAGGAATATTGCCTTCCACAGGATACACCTTTCCCTTTAAAATTTAGGAATAACTGATTGAGTAAAAAGATCCATTGATGATTTTTGATACCTAGACTGACCTTGGTTGTGTGGTGCTCTGGAGTTGTTAAAGACTGAAGGAGGCAGGAAGAGACATAGATTTACCAGGGGACTTTACAGGAAAGACAGATTCATGAAATAGGTAATGTTCACCTAGGTGAGCAAAGAGAGGTAAGGACAAATGAAAAGAAAGAATAATATGATATATTCTTGGTGAAATGAAATTTGTCAGTTTATAAGAAAAAAATATAATTCACTATTCACACAAGCACACAACATATAATTCTGGATGGATTCCAATTTAATTTATATACCTATATAACGTTTTTAGAATAAAACAAAAAAAAGAATATCTCTCTAGTCTTAAAATAGGAAAATAATTCTTAAACAAAATAATAAACATTATCTATAAAGAAGGAAATATGAAATTATTTTAAAATTAAGACTTTCTCCTCATCAAGACGCACACACTCACACACACAGAGACACAGAGAGAGATAAAGATCATGAGAGAGATCACAGAGAGATCATGAGAGAAAGAGAGAGAAACAGGAAAGGAAATATGTCCAGCTGATAGACAGAACTACTATAAATATGTAAGAAAAAATGGACATAATAAACTAACACATGCTTCAAAAAAAGGTTGCTCAATGTCTAATAAATATGTGAAAATACGCTCAACTTCCATGATGATAATAAAAAAGCAACTAAAATCACTACTTGATACCATGACACACCAACCAGAAGTCGAAAAACAAAAATGAAAAAAAAAATTAAAAGTGGTGACAAAGGTGTGGATAAGCCAAAAATCTCCTACACTGCTGATGGGTGTGGAAATTGGTAGAAACATTTTCCAAAGCTCTTTGACACTATCTCTTAAAGCTAAAGAAATGTAAACCTCTCACCCTATAAGTCCTCTATTATATATACAGCCAAAAGAAATTGGTATGCGTGCCACCAAAATATGTCCTAAATGTACATCTCAGCACTACTGCTAATAGTCTCAAACTGAAAACCACCCACACGCCCAGTAACAATGGAATGATTAAATTAATGGTTCATGTTCACACAGTTGAATCCTATACAGCAATGTGAACGCACGATCAACAACAACATGGAGCAATTAATTCACAAACAACATAAGCAATGACAAAAGCCAAATACAAAATGCAAAACAGGCTAAAGCGACCTGTGCTGTTACCTGTCAGACCAAGGGTTCCCCTGAGGAGTAGTGACTGGGAGGGAGCACAAGTGGCTTCTGGCGGTCTGACAATATTCTCTTTTTTTTTAAATTTTTTGTTTATTGCAGTAACATTGGTTTATAACATTGTAAAACATTTAAGGTGTACATCATTATACTTCTATTTTTTTATTTCTATTTATTTATTTGTTTTTGAGGAAGACCGGCCCTGAGCTAACATCTGTTGTCAATGTTCCTCTTTTTCTTTTTTCTCCCCAAAGCCCCAGGACATCATTGTATATCCTAGTTGTAGGTCCTTCTGGTTCCTCTGTGTGGGAGGCCGCCTCAGCATGGCTCACTGAGTGGTGAGTAGATCCATGCCCAGGATCCAAACCAGCAAACCCTGGGACACTGAAGCGGAATGCGCAAACTTAACTGCTATGCCACCAGGCCAGCCCCTGACAATAATGTCTCTACTGATCTAGGTACTGAGTACAAAAATGTGTTCACTGTGTGAACTGTCATTGAGCTACGCACTTATGACCTGTGCATGTGTCTTTACATTTTTAAAATACATATCACTAATCACAAGGTGGGATATGGCAAATAGATTATTGTTGTAATGTCCTTATATCGTAAACATGGGATTTAAAGTATTACATACAATGACGCTGTGATTAGCTTTAAATGTATGCTGAAACTTCTAGGTAGAAACTAACAAATAATGATATACAACTTTCAAAGAAAAGCGTCGATTATAATTTATAAATGTATTTAAAAATAATAGAAAAGAAGTTAACACAGATAAATAATAAAAAATTCTATTGACCAAAATGTATCAATTATATTAAACTTAAATAGACTAATTACTCCTTTTTAAAATCAAACATTTTTTTTACTTCATTGAATATTTTTTTTCTCAAGAGGTATGGCCAAATAATACAATTAAAGTGGGAAAATGAGAAACATGTTTTATGGATTTTAACCATTAGACAACTAGCATGGTAATATACATATCAGATAACATACACTATAAGATTTGTCAATATTGTAATTAGTACTCTTTTAAACTTGTTTTAATGTATAACTTTCATATATTGATTGATGGATAACAAGAATGATTGTATTATAGGCATGTTTTTTTTCCTTTTCCCTTCCCGGTTCGCTTGTGGAAGGGGTTTTCCTTTTTTTTTTCCTTTTGTATTTTTGGTTTTTTTTTTCCTTTTTTTTTTTTTTTTTTTTTTTTTAATTTATTTTTTGTTAATTCCGGAGGGGCTTTTTTGGGCCAAATTGGGGTTTTTTCTTTTTGTTCCAGGTTTCATTTTTTCCTTTTTTTCTTTCCAAATTATTTTTTTTTTTTATTCAATTTTTTGATTTTTCATTCTTTTCTTCAGTTTAAGAATGTAAATACATAGAAAACTATACAAAAATCTTTCCTAAAATTGAGGAAATATCCACTTTGTACATTGAAAATCGAAGGGACAGAAATGCCACATAAACAGAATGGATTTATGTCTTCCCCTTTCAAATGGAGCTCCACACATTGCTCCAAATTTAATGGAAGTCTAAACCATAAACTAATTTCAAAACTTAAGAGACAGGACTGAGAAACTACAAACTTCTTTCTTGCCGTATGTCCATATCATTTTCACAAAGACAAAACTCTGCCTTCTACAGATCCCAATTCTATGCAATTCACATCTTTAAAATTATCACACTCACCTGATGTTGCTTACTAATCAGCTAAAATGTAATTTTTGCTCTCTTTTGACCCACTACAGATCAATCTGGCCATTTTACCTGAAAAGGTTTAAACATGCTCATCTCCCTTCATAAAACTCTATTTCAAGTAAATGACTACCACCTCTCTAAGAACATAATGTACACAACTCATAACAGGCTCCCAAAGGCTTTGCTCACTGATTGAATTTCCCCTCTAGCGCTATTGTCTTCAGATTCAGTGATGACCTGCTATATGCTGTTCCATTTCCATGCACCTTTTAACAATGTTACGCCTAGTTCATACCTGGCAATTTATTGTGATGGATTTAAGCTACACACTCAAAGACTTCTCCATAATATCCAGAATGTTTCAGTACCTGCTGCTTATTATGACATGAATTCTCAACTCCTCCACTGCAGGGATTAGACAAACTTCAACCACATAAGTATTTAAGTGATAGTTATATATTATTACATTACAATTACTGTTTTAACGTATTTGTCACTCTGAAGGAGATGTTCTGCATGTTCTGTTTACATTCTCTGAACAGCCACTCATAATTTTACTTAGAACTCTGAGAGCAATGAATGAATTGCTAAATGATCATTGTTCAAATAGAAACAATTCACATATTTCTGATCAAATTAGGGCATTTTGCATTCCTTATAAAGACAAAGCAGAGCCTGGATGCATTGGAGTCACGGCTCATGAACAGAATGGGGCTGACAGTTGGGAAACACATATTGATTATCGCAGTGATGTTCAAAAGAAACCAGTTAGGATTGTTAAAAAGAGCCATACACACATGAACAATGGAGGAAATGGTGTAAAAACAGACAAAGGTGCTCACCAGGAGAAGGATGGTTTTGGTAGCTCTGGACTTAGGGGAGGATCTGGAGGACATGCTGGTCCTATGAATGTGTTGGACCCTCTGCTTGTGCCTGTACGGGATGAAAACCATGGAGCCGCTGGCCCAGAGCATGAAGAACAAATAGAAAACATCAGGGAATGATAGCAATGCTGCATATAATAAGTCTCTGGTTTTGTCATGACGAACAGAAGAACAGTGTCCAAAACTTTTTCTGTTTGTGAGGTTTTTGTGGCTCCAATTACTACTCACAAACATAGGAAAAATGACATTTATCAGCATGTGCAGGATCCAGCACAGGAAAATTGAAGGGACAATGCACTTGAGAACTTTCACTTTAAGATCTGCCCACCTGGAGTTCCTGGGGCTGATCATGGTGGCCTGGAAGACACTCAAGAGGCAGGTGGTGCCAATGGACACAACCCTGCCCACTGCACGAACATAGGGGAAAAATCTGCATCCAAAATCATTGAAGACCTGATACCACCCAAAACGTGACATTGTATCATGGAATCCGCCAGAGAACAGGACCAAGGAGTTGGCTACAGTCAGGTTCTTGACAAGCAAATCTGTGGACCTTAGCCTACACTCAGTGAAATAAAGGAAGAGATAGTGGTAAAGAAGAGAGAAATTCCCCAGGATTCCAAATAGTCTGTAGTAAGATGATCGTTCCTACTGTCAAATTCCTAGTGGTCATCCTGTCAGTTCTCAGTTACTGATATTCGTCTTCTGAGCTAGAGGCTCTTGTATGGGAATAGGTGTGGCAAGATCTATTATTTCAGAAATCTACCACTCTCCACTTAACAACAGTTTCTACTTTGAAATAACTAAAGTTTTTCTGTCTTTAGAGACTTCCAAGAGTTGAAATTATAATCGTTAAAATATGCTAGCAATGTACGAATCACTGCTGTGAAAGCCACACATGTGGTAACTTCTTTATCCCTCACAAATTCGTGGGGCAGGCACTGTTACTACAGTCCTTATAAAGATGAGGACAAGACAAGAACAGAGAGGTCAAATGTTTCCTCTAAATTCACTCTGTGGTTAGGGGCAGCGTGGGGATCTGAGCCTGGCTGGGCTCATGACACGAAAGTACATTTAATCCATAATATACTAAAACACCAGTTAGTTGTGCTCTTCAAATAAACTGGATATAAATTTAGTTTTGTTTTGCATCTTGTCATTTCAATGTATATAGTTGGTATTTTATTTTAAAATTCTGGTTATGACGAGTTTCTACTTATTTATGAAGATTTATTCTATAGGTGTATATAAACTTTGATTGAAGTTTTAGAGACTTGAATATAATTTAGATGCCCTAGTTGCAGTGAAAAACTGTAGGTCATGCCCCAGCACAAGTTGGCTTTAATGAATGAGAGAATATCTCAATATTAGGATGGCAAGAAAAAGACTCATTTGCTTTTATCGCAGGAACAATAGCACAATGGTCTGAGTCACAGGAACTAGGAGACAGAAACCCTGATGCCCGATAAACAGTGTCTGATAGAAACATATTATGACTATTTTCAGATCAAGTAC